ACCAGTTGTGTCACTACTGCATGACCAGTTATGTCACTACTGCATGACCAGTTATGTCACTACTGCATGACTAGTTATGTCACTACTGCATGACCAGTTATGTCACTACTGCATGACCAGTTGTGTCACTACTGCATGACCAGTTATGTCACTACTGCATGACCAGTTATGTCACTACTGCATGACCAGTTGTGTTACTACTGCATGACCAGTTATGTCACTACTGCATGACCAGTTGTGTTACTACGGCATGACCAGTTATGTCACTACTGCATGACCAGTTATGTCACTACTGCATGACCAGTTGTGTTACTACTGCATGACCAGTTATGTCACTACTGCATGACCAGTTATGTCACTACTGCATGACCAGTTATGTCACTACTGCATGACCAGTTGTGTCACTACTGCATGACCAGTTATGTCACTACTGCATGACCAGTTATGTCACTACTGCATGACCAGTTATGTCACTACTGCATGACCAGTTGTGTTACTACCTCATGACCAGTTATGTCACTATTGCATGACCAGTTGTGTTACTACTGCATGACCAGTTATGTCACTACTGCATGACCAGTTGTGTTACTACTGCATGACCAGTTGTGTCACTACTGCATGACCAGTTGTGTCACTACTGCATGACCAGTTGTGTCACTACTGCATGACCAGTTACGTCACTACTGCATGACCAGTTGTGTCACTACTGCATGACCAGTTATGTCACTACTGCATGACCAGTTGTGTCACTACTGCATGACCAGTTGTGTCACTACTGCATGACCAGTTGTGTCACTACTGCATGACCAGTTGTGTCACTACTGCATGACCAGTTATGTCACTACTGCATGACCAGTTGTGTCACTACTGCATGACCAGTTATGTCACTACTGCATGACCAGTTGTGTCACTACTGCATGACCAGTTATGTCACTACTGCATGACCAGTTGTGTTACTACTGCATGACCAGTTATGTCACTACTGCATGACCAGTTGTGTTATACTACTGCATGACCAGTTGTGTCACTACTGCATGACCAGTTGTGTTACTACTGCATGACCAGTTATGTCACTACTGCATGACCAGTTGTGTCACTACTGCATGACCAGTTGTGTCACTACTGCATGACCAGTTGTGTTACTACTGCATGACCAGTTATGTCACTACTGCATGACCAGTTGTGTTACTACTGCATGACCAGTTATGTCACTACTGCATGACCAGTTGTGTCACTACTGCATGACCATTGTGTCACTACTGCATGACCAGTTGTGTTACTACTGCATGACCAGTTATGTCACTACTGCATGACCAGTTGTGTTACTACTGCATGACCAGTTGTGTCACTACTGCATGACCAGTTGTGTCACTACTGCATGACCAGTTGTGTTACTACTGCATGACCAGTTGTGTTACTACTGCATGACCAGTTATGTCACTACTGCATGACCAGTTTATGTCACTACTGCATGACCAGTTATGTCACTACTGCATGACCAGTTATGTCACTACTGCATGACCAGTTATGTCACTACTGCATGACCAGTTATGTCACTACTGCATGACCAGTTATGTCACTACTGCATGACCAGTTGTGTCACTACTGCATGACCAGTTGTGTTACTACTGCATGACCAGTTATGTCACTACTGCATGACCAGTTATGTCACTACTGCATGACCAGTTGTGTCACTACTGCATGACCAGTTGTGTTACTACTGCATGACCAGTTATGTCACTACTGCATGACCAGTTATGTCACTACTGCATGACCAGTTATGTCACTACTGCATGACCAGTTATGTCACTACTGCATGACCAGTTATGTCACTACTGCATGACCAGTTATGTCACTACTGCATGACCAGTTGTGTTACTACTGCATGACCAGTTTATGTCACTACTGCATGACCAGTTATGTCACTACTGCATGACCAGTTATGTCACTACTGCATGACCAGTTATGTCACTACTGCATGACCAGTTATGTCACTACTGCATGACCAGTTGTGTCACTACTGCATGACCAGTTGTGTTACTACTGCATGACCAGTTATGTCACTACTGCATGACCAGTTATGTCACTACTGCATGACCAGTTGTGTCACTACTGCATGACCAGTTGTGTTACTACTGCATGACCAGTTATGTCACTACTGCATGACCAGTTATGTCACTACTGCATGACCAGTTATGTCACTACTGCATGACCAGTTATGTCACTACTGCATGACCAGTTGTGTTACTACTGCATGACCAGTTGTGTTACTACTGCATGACCAGTTATGTCACTACTGCATGACCAGTTATGTCACTACTGCATGACCAGTTATGTCACTACTGCATGACCAGTTATGTCACTACTGCATGACCAGTTGTGTTTACTACTGCATGACCAGTTTATGTCACTACTGCATGACCAGTTATGTCACTACTGCATGACCAGTTATGTCACTACTGCATGACCAGTTATGTCACTACTGCATGACCAGTTATGTCACTACTGCATGACCAGTTATGTCACTACTGCATGACCAGTTATGTCACTACTGCATGACCAGTTGTGTTACTACTGCACGACCAGTTGTGTTACTACTGCATGACCAGTTATGTCACTACTGCATGACCAGTTGTGTTACTACTGCATGACCAGTTATGTCACTACTGCATGACCAGTTATGTCACTACTGCATGACCAGTTATGTCACTACTGCATGACCAGTTATGTCACTACTGCATGACCAGTTATGTCACTACTGCATGACCAGTTGTGTTACTACTGCATGACCAGTTATGTCACTACTGCATGACCAGTTATGTCACTACTGCATGACCAGTTGTGTTACTACTGCATGACCAGTTGTGTTACTACTGCATGACCAGTTATGTCACTACTGCATGACCAGTTGTGTTACTACTGCATGACCAGTTATGTCACTACTGCATGACCAGTTATGTCACTACTGCATGACCAGTTATGTCACTACTGCATGACCAGTTATGTCACTACTGCATGACCAGTTATGTCACTACTGCATGACCAGTTATGTCACTACTGCATGACCAGTTATGTCACTACTGTATGACCAGTTATGTCACTACTGCATGACCAGTTGTGTTACTACTGCATGACCAGTTATGTCACTACTGCATGACCAGTTATGTCACTACTGCATGACCAGTTATGTCACTACTGCATGACCAGTTATGTCACTACTGCATGACCAGTTATGTCACTACTGCATGACCAGTTTGTGTCACTACTGCATGACCAGTTGTGTTTACTACTGCATGACCAGTTATGTCACTACTGCATGACCAGTTATGTCACTACTGCATGACCAGTTGTGTCACTACTGCATGACCAGTTGTGTTACTACTGCATGACCAGTTATGTCACTACTGCATGACCAGTTATGTCACTACTGTATGACCAGTTATGTCACTACTGCATGACCAGTTATGTCACTACTGTATGACCAGTGACAAATGTTTAAGGGCCATAAACTGAACAGGAGAATACTTCTTAACTTTATTAATGATAAAATAAATAATGGTAGTAATATTGAGGAAACATAAACTCAAATACCACTTTGAGTACACCAACAGATTCTACATTTATTCATCTTCAACAATGCCCCCCCCAAAAAAAAACTTGAAAAATAAAGAAAAACATTGCAATATCAGAGAAACACTAGTTCCGATTTAACTTTGAGTACAGGTAACATCTCAGTGAATCTGATCTTACATTTCCTTGCCTTCTGCTATGCAAAATCATCTATCACATCATCAAAATCAATGAGTTTCCCTATATAGGCTTATTCGTACTTTGTTAATATATAATAGGTTATATAGAAACGAAGGATTCTTCTCTTATGTTGGTGCAGCACTGTTTTGTTCATTTGTGTCACCTTCTTTAGAGGCTGTATGGTGTCACCCGGGGCGGCCCGCCCCCCATCCTTACGACGCCCCTGAGTCAGAGTAACCATCAACACTCTTAACACCACCTACACTGTCTACTAACGTCGTGATGAGTCGTTTGGGTTAAAATATCCCTAGGTGTTAATATGGTGAAGAGTATAGGTGAGTATAGGAAGGATGTTTAGGGATGATGTAGGTGAGAAATGTGATATGTAGCATAGGTGAGAAATGTGATATGTAGCATAGGTGAGAAATGTGATATGTAGCATAGGTGAGAAATGTGATATGTAGCATAGGTGAGAAATGAAAAATGTGTAAATCAGATTTATATTTTTACATTAGTTTCTCACTCTATTGTGTGGATGGAATTTGTTTCATACTCCGATATAGTTTTAATTTCCTCACGTTTTCCATATCGGAGTAATTGAAATTTTTCATCATTGAACTTCATATTGTTTTCTGCGGCCCATTAAAGATTTGGTTGATGTCTGCCTTCAATTTTGTGGTGTCTTAAATGGAGGACACTGTCATGCAAATTCGGGTGTCATCTGCAAAGGAAGACACGGTGCTGTGGCTTACATCCCTGTCTATGTCAGATATGAGGATGAGGAACAGGATCGGAGCGAGTACTGTGCCATGTGGGACAGAGTTTTCCACTGTAGCCGTCTCAGACTCCAATACGTTACTAGTCATGTATATACCCATCATCTAACCTCCCCAGTACTGGTCTTGTTTACACTTTTCTTCTCACCTTCCCAGTACTGGTCTTGTTCACATTATCCTTTCACTTTCATAGTACTGATCTTGTTTACACTTATCCTCTCACCTTCACAGTACTGGTCTTCGTCTACACGTGTCCCCACCTTCCCGGTACTGGCCTCACCAACCTCTGCGCTCATTCTCCTGCTAACGGTCTTACGTACACCTGTGTTAATTAAATATCCTGGGTATTGATTTAGGAAGGAGAGGTGAGGCGAGTTTCCGAACTTCAGAAGGCAGATTACAAAGGAAATAATTCGTGTAAGATTACCAAGAGAGACACATTAGAGGGAGGAAGAAACGAGAGTTAGCATTAACCCTCTGGTTCTGGCCATATAGGATGAAGCCAATGATAGCCCAGGTGGGAGATGTCTTTGTCTGCAGCGAGAGATCTGCCGGGGATGTGCTGTGAGATAGAGCTGAAGTGGGAGCCGTCTCTGTCTGGTGAGATGATGTGCTGGGGAAGATGCGTTGGGAGCGAGACATAATATGTAATCCCTTAATGAAGGAGGGACGAAATGGCTCGTCCTTTCACATTATCTGCTGATGCAGGCGCCGATGGATTACACCTTTAACTAAACTAAAAAAAAAAATCTAATCTATCATCATTTTTCGTCATTTTCCCCCCGCTTTTTCGCCTTCTTTTTCTCAGTTCTGGCAGCTCTGGGCGATAGCAAGACTTAAGCTGGGAAAAAAATGGGTATCATCATTTCAAGGTAGATGGAGTGATGACCTTTACCCCCAGAAGTGGGTCACATTAATTCTGATTCTTTACATGATCGAAGTGATCACTGGGAACCTTGCCGAGGGGGAATGACACGAGACACTTAAGAATGATACTAGACTCAAGGGTATGACACACGAGACAAAAGAATGATAACACTAGACTCAAGGGAATGGCACACGAGACAGAAGAATGACACTAGACAGAGACAAACCAACACAGAACAATAACAGTAGACACAGAAAATTGCATTAGAGACTAAACACATAAAACTGAACATAAAACACAAGAGACTGAACGAAACACAAGACTCATTCAGCCCTGCTAATGGACAGAACCACCCACCCAGGACGTCACTAACTCACCCTGTTGGACTCGTTACACACTCAATGCTGTGAGAGTGACTTCATCTGGAATCTTAACCTGACGAGTGACCTTCCGACCTCTGGCTGACCTCAGAGTCACTGGACAGTATCCTATTGTAGGGTGCTACAGAGCTATCGTGGATTACAGAACCATCGTGGGTTAAAAGCGATCTTGGGTAGCCAAGGCGCTAACTTTGACCGAAGACGGTAGGTGTAACATTTGTCAGGAAACAGGACAAGTGTTTCCTGACGCCGGGTCTTAATCATATGATGACCCGTACCTGAAGCTTTTGGTCCTCTGACCAAGACCTTCCGCAGGCTCACCCGGGCTATCCCTTTAAAAACTATGGCTAATATTATAACCATTTTACTAATTTTTACTAATTTTTGACCAAAGAAAGAAGCAAATGCATTTTATGATATTTGAAGAATCTTAAAAAATTATGAAACTAATATTAATGAAAAACTGATTTTTTTATGAAATATAAACCATAAAAATATAAGAACCTCCCGAAAACGAAATAAAAAATCTTAAGTCTACATATTTTTTTAAGATGCAAGAAGCATATACCAATAATAAGACAGTACTTATATCTTTTTTCTTGAAAACAATATAAAAAAAAAAATAAATAAATACGACATTTTGGGGGTTACCTGGAGGTTACCTGGAGGTTACCTGGAGGTTACTCCGGGGATCAACGCCCCCGCGGCCCCGGTCCATGACCAGGCCTCCCGATGGATCAGGGCCTGATCAACTAGGCTGTTACTGCTGGCCGCATGCAGTCCGATGTATGAGCCACAGCCCGGCTGATCCGGCACTAACTTTAGGTATCTGTCCAGCTCTCTCTTGAAGGCAGCCAGGGGTTTATTGGCAATTCCCCTAATGCTTGATGGGAGGCTATTGAACAGTTTTGGGCCCCGGACACTTATGGTGTTTTCTCTTAGTGTACCAATGGCGCCCCTACTTTTTATTGGCGGCATTTTGCATCGCCTGCCCAGTCTTTTACTTTCGTAGGGAGTGATTTCTTTGTGCAGATTTGGGACCATTCCTTCCAAGATTTTCCAAGTGTAGATTATGATATATCTCTCCCTCCTGCGTTCCAACGAGTACAAGTCAAGTGCTTCCAAGCGTTCCAAGCGTTCTGTTATGGGGGCTGATGATAATGGTTAATTCACGAGGTGAACTGCCAGAGTGAATGAGTGAAAAAAAAATCCATGATGAGTGATATTGGTGGCGAGTGACTGGTTGTGTTGACGTATTGTAACTACAATACTACAGCCGCCAGAGATGCATTGTTGTACTGTTTCACTCTCTGTCTCTCTGAAGATAAAGTCACAAGTGCAACAGTTGGGTAACTTCATTGGTAAAACATTTCGCCTACACAGTAGATTTCTTCAGTTAGATACAGATGCAGCAGGTGTAGTAGTGAAATAAAGATGATGCAATCAGTCCATCAACCTTGGAGAAATAGTATTTGAGGTGCTCAGTCCCTTCACCTGGAGAAGAGTTCAGTTCCATGAACCGGAACGATATGAAGCTGAAGCATGAGAACGGAGTCTTAAATACTGTCGAAGGTGAGGCGGAAGATCTCGAAGACGTTGTAGGGGTCGGAATTCAGTAGTAGAAGTAAGAAAACAGATCCCTCTGCAATCCAACTACTTCTCACTCATAACTAGTACTGTAAACAGTACATTCATACACGCCAAAGCTATTTCTGTATAAGTTGTATCATGTACTTGTAGAAATAAAGATTATTATTATTATTAGTAGCAGTGATAGTAGTAGTAGTAGTAGTAGTAGTAGTAGTAGTAGTAGTAGTAGTAGTAGTAGTAGTAGTAGTAGTAGTAGTAGTAGTAGTATGGAAAAAATCTCATTTTTACTTGTTATTTGCAGGTAATAATGTATCAGTCTCAGCATCACCTCAGCAACTTCCTCAGCTGAGCTTCTCGACGCACATGTCAACACTCGTTGATGACTTTAAGATTGAGACTAATGGTGTTGACGAGGACCAGGCAACATGACTGCACTCACTGTTTACACTCTTGTAAGGTCATCTGTGTGTGTGGTGTGTGTGTGTGTGTGTGTGTGTGTGTGTGTGTGTGTGTGTGGTGTGTGTGTGTGTGTGTGTGTGTGTGTGTGTGTATGTGCGTATGTGTGTATGTGTGTGTGTGTGTATGTGTGTATATGTGTGAATGTGTGTGTATGTGTGTGTGTGTGTGTGTGTGTGTGTGTATGTGTGTGTATGTGTGTGTGTGTTAGTTATCAGTTCTTAAGGCACTTGTCGATAGCACTTGGCCTGCTTTGTGTCTGTTAGTTACTGCTGTTAAAGGCACTTGTCGACAGATACTTGGCCTTATTTTGTTTTTGGGGAGGCCGGGGGTACTGAGTTTCTGGACACACACACACACACACACACGCACACACACACACACACACACACACACACACACACACAAAAGAAACGACAGAGAAGTATGTGAGGAGAGGTGGGGTTCACCACCAAGTGTTGGACATAATACATACAACCGAGGAAGAAGTGAAGAGGCTGCTGAGCGAGCTAGCCCACTTCAAACGCTATGGGCCAGAATAACATCTTTCCATGGGTCCTGAGAGGGGGAGCAGAGGCGCTATGTGTACGCCTAACAACAATATTCAACACATCTACCAAAACAGGAAGATTACCTGAGGTATAGAAGCAGCAAATGTAGTCCCAATTTTTTTAAAAAAGGAGAAAGACAAGAAACACTAAGCTATAGACCAGTGTCACTGACATGTATAGTATGCAAAGTCATGGAGAAGATTATCAGGAGAAGAGTGGTGGAACACCTAGAAAGAAATGAGCTTAATAACAGCCAACACGGTTTCAGGGACGGAAATCCTCTGTCACAAACCTACTGGAGTTCTATGACAGGGTGACAGCAGTAAGACAAGAGAGAGAGAAGGGTGGGTAGATTGCATTTTCTTGACTGTAAGAAAGCGTTTGACACAGGGATAACAGGGAAGGCACTACAATGGATCAGGGAATACCTGTCAGGAAGACAGCAGCGAGTTATGTACACGGCAAGGTGTCAGAGTGGGCTCCTGTGACGAGTGGGGTTCCACAGGAGTTAGTCCTAGGACCAGTGCTGTTTCTGGTATTAGTGAGCGACATGGCAGAAGGAATAGACTCCGAAGTGTCCCTGTTTGCAGATGACGTGAAGTTGATGAGAAGAATTGAATCGGACGAGGACCAGGCAGAACTACAAAGGGACCGGGACAGGCTGCAGGCCTGGCCAAGCAATTGGCTCCTGGAGTTCAACCACACCAAGTGCAAAGTCATGAAGATTGGGGAAGGGCAAAGAAGACCGCAGACGGAGTACGGTCTAGGGGGGCCAGAGACTACAAACCTCACTCAAGGAAAAAGATCTTGGGGTGAGTACAACACCAGGCACATCTGAGACGCACATCAACCAAATAACTGCTGCAGCATATGGGCGCCTAGCAAACCTAAGAACAGCATTCCACCATCTTAATAAGGAATCGTTCAGGACCCTGTACACCGTGTACGT